CCTCCTCTTCCCCTTGGGAGGAAGTTCTAGACCCCCAGGAGATCTCCTCTCAGTCTCCTCTTTTCCAGGCTGAACAAACCAAGCAACTTCAGCCTCTCCTCATACTCTTCCCCTCTAAACCCTTCCCCAATGTTGTGTCCCTCCTCTGGACACTCTCCAGCAGCTTTAGATCCTTTTTATCCTGTGGTGCCCAAACTGCCCCCAGTGCTGGAGGTGAGGCCGCCCCAGTGCAGAGCAGAGCGGGACGATCCCCTCCCTTGCCCGGCTCGCAGTGCAGGGCTGGGTGCCCCCAGGACACGAGTGTCCCTCTTGGCTGCCAGGACACACTGTTGATTCATGTTCAACTTGGCATCGACCAGAACCCCCAGGATGTCATCTCATGCAACTAGCTCTCACCCTGCAGAGCAATTTTCTGAATCCCAAGACCTCTGCTAAGAACATCTCACTCAAATACGTAGCAGGGCCCCATCATGGTAGATGATAGGACATCTCAGACTGATGGGAGTGATAAAGGCCTAATGAACTGCAGACAGAATACAGCAGAGCGCAGTTTCTTGTGGAATGCAAACAGGAGTACACAAATCTGACCACTTCCAGGTGTGTATGATGAGAAAATTGAGAGACTCAACTGCGTTGAGACAGTCAGCTTTGCCGGGTTGTCTCCAGTTCTTTTTCCTCCCACCCTGATTCACTCAGCCTGCAGCAGTACCCACCGATTACAAGGGGCTGTGAGGAACCACTCTGCAAACAGGAACTGCTTTTTTTGAGTCACGTACAATATCAGACAACTCTCCCTGTGATTGCTACTTCTTGCAGGAGCAGCTCTTCTAAAGAGGAATCTCTCCCCTCATAATTCTCCATAGGGATTCCTGCTACCAGCTAAACTGGGCTGCCCAGCCCAAGTGATGACTTTGAGACATGGATGAGGCAAGAAACTAAGATTTTGTAACTGCAGCAGATGCTTAAGTAACCTGTGGAGCTCCTAGAACTTGTCACCAAACCCTTCTGTGCATTAGTCACCCCACACAAACGAGGACCTCTGTGATTTCTGCAAGCCTGTACTTACACATGCTTTTACTGGTAGAGCTCTGGTCACTACACGTGGGCATTTCTTTCCCTGTTGTTCTAGTGACAGGTTTGGTGACAACAAAAAAGTAGTGAAGAACTAAAAGGACTTGCTACAAATTTTGGTGATTAGGGGATGATGCAACGTGCTAGAGATGTTCAATGGATTAATGGCCATCATATGAAACTATTGTGTCAAGGAAGATGGAGCCAATTCCTCGCTCTGCCACTGGCTTCCAGTTTAACCTCTGGCATGTCATTTATAAAACCATGTCAGGTATCATAGAATCGTTTGGTTGGAGAAGACCTTTGAGGTCATCGAATCCAACCGTACCTGTCCACTACCAAACCACATCTCTGAGCACCTTGTCTACCCATTGCCTGAGAACCCTTTCAGTGAAGAAATTTTGCCTGATAACCCTTTCAGTGATTAAATTTTGCTTGATATCCAATTTGAACCTCCCCTGGTGCAACTTGAGGCCATTTCCTCTTCTAGAAAAGACATTTTGCAGGCAGACACTCCCACAGTTTTACAAATCCTCTACACTGTTAGGCTGTGCTGCACTAACTCCCCAGCAACATACCCAAGTGTAGGGTAACTAGTGGTTAGAGAAAAACCATCTGAACAGACCTGACAGAAATAAATTGATGGCTTTTCAATTCAGAACAAAATAGGGGGCAGATTTTTTCCATCCAAGTTGAACATTCATTCTGTATTTCGTTTGCCTAGCCATGATACTCAAGGATCTCTGCAAAAAGCTGCACGTTCATTCCTTGCTACCCTACTCTCAGCATTTACTCACACCCTGCATTTATTATCGTATTTTTCTCTTTAGTAGTGTATTTCCTGTACAGGTCTTGAAGCACTTCACAAGCCTGACATGCAGCTACGACGTCTGCGAAGCAGGCAGCGTTACCCCACTTGACAGCTGCAGCACTGAAGCACAGACAGATGAGCTCCTTGCTCGTGGTCATGCAGAAGGTCAGTGGCAGGCCAAGGAACCAAGTTTAGGTCCCTGCCTGCACAATAAAATTATAAACCATCCTTAGTTTTAATGGCTGCTTCTACTAGTGACAAATCTCTGCCGTGCCTGGGTGGTCTTTCACACACGTGAAATGTTGGTCAGGGGTGAGAACTCAGGTCTGAGACCAAGTTACAGTTCTGTAACTACCAGTTATTTATTGTCTCCTTTCTCACCCGTACCTATCTCATTTGTTTAAGCACATCTGAGACTACCCCTCGTTCTGCATGTGTGCAGTGCCCGAGAGAACAGCACTGATCTCAGCTGGAGATGACACTGTAAGACAAATTCAGATGTTGTTATGCAATTTTAAATGGGATATTTGTGAGAACTTACCTGGGGAAAGACTAAGAGCAAATTTGGTCTGAAAATCACATTCTTTACTTTCCAAGTAATCATCTGAAATGACGGCCACCATCCTCCTGCACCTAAAGAAAAAGCAGTCAGGGGAGAAAAAAAAATAACAGGTCAGTAGAGACACTTCTTATTTTCAGGGGCAGAAGTGTGTGTTCCTCTGAATCCTTCTGGTGGAGAAATGAACCTGCCAGCTGTGTTCCAGCAGGAATTAACTACTGACAGACAGACAGCTACGTACAGCTGCACATTTGTATACTAAAGACAAAGAAATAGCAAAGTCCAGATTGTCTGTGCAATCTTTATTTGATCATCTGTCTATCTATCTATATATAATGAATATAATTATATATACACACAACAAACAATGACATCTTCATTATCTGCTTACACATTGCCTTTATTGACTGAGCATAACTGGTATTTTTTAACATCAGAATGAACTGGACAGAGCTTTATTCTACTCATATTGCTGTGAATTTACCTAATTTCATAAATTTGTGCCTTTACTCTTCCATTTGTTGCTTCCACTCGTTTGAGGTGCCTGGTTGTACACCACACCTTAGGCTGTGTATGGAAGGCTACGCTGTACAACAGCCAGGACAGTGTGGTGGTACGAGGGTCTCTGTTAACACCAAGCTACCTCCCTCCGAAAGGCTGATGTTTAAATCCCAAACAAGTGCTTTGGGATTTGTCACTCCCTATCTGGGGAGTTGCTTTTACGTCCCACAGCTCCCACCACACCTGAGTCTCACAAAGATTTGAAGGATCCTTGAAGTCAGTGCCAGAACCAACACCAGTGCTGTCCCCTCAGACACTGTGGGGTGGAGCTAACTCAGCCTGGAGCTGTACTCTTTTCCAGATCACCTCCAAAGATGTGACTGCAGGATATTCCAGCCAAGAGAAAAGGGATCAAACGTAAGCAACATCACTACGGTGCCATCTTCCTTGTGAACACAATGAAGCAACAACACGTTTGGGAATGCTCAAGTCTTCCTTCTTGAGCCAAGAGCATAAAACAAACCCCATAAAGACATCCTGTTGGATTTTTACTGCTTTGCTGGCATCATGCTGCAGACATCCTGGTAAGATGAAGGTCATGTTCCATCACGCTCAGCTGTCCCAAACAGCCACGGTTCACTTACCTCCTTTCTATAAGTTCTCCGCTGATGGACCACACACACGTTCCTGGCAAGACATCCCGATCAAATACACAGAGTTTCAGCTTGAACTCTGTTTGTTCCAGCTTCCTGATCATCTCCTGGACAAACTGAAGGTCTTTCTGACAGTAGCAGATGAAGGCATCAAAAATCTCTGTTCCGTTCCCTGAAACCATGACAAATTTAGCTGTCAACTTCTGCTATAAATGAAGTTAACTCCCGTAGTGAACTTCCACTGGCTCCCACAGTCTTTGATTCATGATCAGGAGCTTTGACAGACAAGTTCTGGCCAAACTTGCAAAGTAATTTAACATTTTAGCAGACAGACACCCTTCAGCCCAGACTCCTGTCCATAACAGAGCTGGCAGGAGGTAACACCCATCTCTGCCTTGACCGCTTCGTTTCACAGCCCAGGCTATTCACAGAAGCCCACAGTCGCTGGCAGTGGTTAGGGAAGGGCAGCTGAGAGGCAGACATGCAAAATCTGCAGAGGCAATAACATCCAGCCACGGGGAAGGTGAGGGAGACAGAGCCTGGGAAGAGCTGGAGGGAGCAGAGTACCCCAGAGGATGCAACGCAGAGTCCGGTGCTCTGGGATTTCACTGTGAGTTACACCCTTAAAATATCCTCGTGGCTCTGGGTCCTAATTCCCTAGTTCAGGCCACAGAGATTCAAACTTCCCAACCAAAACCTTCCTGCAGGTCCTTCATCCAGAATGTCCTGGCATCTGCTGTCTACTGAGCTACAAGGCAGGAAGTTTGGAAACTGTTTTGTATGGCTAAGATGTCAAACTTGGGTACATGAAGTCATCTCTGAAGTAAATGGTCCTGTTCCCAAAGCTGTTAATAGCTGGCAGCTCTCATTTATTTATCAGTTATCCACATATTGAAGTGCTCCATTTTAAGGACAATGTCTCTCGTAATTAAGTGCCTTAATACTGCTGGATCGTTTCCCACTGTGTTATTTATTTTCCCTATCAATGTCACTACATATATTTTCAAGTTTTTATGCCAGTTAAAGCCTACCACAGTAAAAAAAAAATAGGTCAGGTTTCTAAAAGCTGTGGAGAGAAGGATCAACCCAGCAGGCAGATCCAGCCCGAGAAGCATCCAGTCAAGCAGAAGGGTAAGTGGCTGCCAGGTCAGTCAAACTGAGGATACTGCTTTAGGGGCACAGCGCTGACTTGGGGGTCACAGCAGGCAAAGCTGCCATGGACAAACACCAGCATTTTGGTCTATGGACATTTGGGGAGGGGTAGTGAAGTCTCCACATGCAGCAAAAGTGAACACACGCAGTCAGAATAGCCAGGGGAGCACCTGACCAGGACAGAAACACAGAAGACAACGCACCCAGTTGCACATAGAATCAGAGAATGTTGTGAGTTGGAAGGGACCCAGGAGGATCATCGAGTCCAGCTCAGAGCTGCACACACAGCCCGGCAAGCACACACAGAGAATTCGGTTTCCTCTCTCCTCTCACTTCACACCCAGCCATATTCAAACCCTGCTTCCTTTTTATTCATGGTGGTTAAATCTGCTGAAGACAGGGCAATGTAGGCAAGGAAGTCAGCTCTGACATCCCTCCCCCTTGGCCCCAACCCACTGTGCTTTCAGCAGCTGTTCACAGAGTCACAGAATTGCCTTGATCAGAAAAGCCCTTTAAGATCATGGAGTCCAATCATTAACCCAACACTGACAAGTCCCCGACTAACCCATGTCCCTCAGCACTGTGTCTACACGACTCTTCAATCCCTCCAGGGATGGGGACTCCACCACTGCCCTGGGCAACCCCTTCCAATGCCTCAGAACCCTTGCAGCAAAGAAATTCTTCCTCACATCCCATCTCAACTGCCCTTGGTGCAGCTTGAGGCCCTTTCCTCTTGTCCTCTCACTTGCTCCTTGGTTGAACAGACCCACCCCCACCTCTCTGCACCCTCCTTTCAGGGACTTGGACAGAGCCAGAAGGTCTCCCCTCAGCCTCCTTTTCTCCAGGATCAACAACCCCAGTTCCCTCAGCCAGGAACTCATCACACTTGTGCTCCAGACCCTTCCCCAGCTCCGTTACCCTTCTCTGGACACGCTCCAGCACCTCCATGTCCTTCTGGGAGTGAGGGGCCCAAAACTGAACCCAGCACACAAGCTGCAGCCTCACCAGTGCCCAGGACAGGGGTGAGAGAACTGCCCTGTTGCTCTGTGCCAGGCTGTGCTAAGGGACACATTTCTGGGAAGTCTCCTCCCATGCATGTCCAGCGGGCTCTGTGCCAGCCTGTTTCTGGGGATGATGTTCCCCAGAGTTGCTTTTCCTCTCTGCCCCAGGAAAAATGAAAACACCTGCAGGCTACGAGCTAAAGCATTCTGGCCTAGGCTATGAAAAGTCATGGGGAGTAATGAAAGCAAACAGGTTTTCTGCACTTCTCACAGGGATCTGCTCCAGCTGGAGGCAATTCCAACCTGAAGTGTCGGGCAGCGATGTCATCACGGGCGCTTACCATACGGATCGTCCCTGGTGGTGATGCCCATCAGCTCTGATGTCTTTGGCACGCTGCTGTCTACTGCTGGCACTTGAAGCGGCTGGTTGGCCTCTTCCTGCTTCTTTTGTAGGTACTTTTTACAGTCCTCCTCTGCAAAAACACACAACCAACGTGAGAGGCTCCTGCGACGCTGGTTTCACGCTGCTGCAGTTCTTTACAACAGGAACAGCCGGTTCATGGATCAGAGATATTAGAGGGAAACCCCCTGTGTGGTTTTTTGGTACCTAGAATTTCTCTCACCCCTTTTTGAACCTCTTGATGCTGCCTCCACCACCTCCTCTAGCAATTAATTCCCCAAGTTCACACTTGCTGTTTAAAGAAGTACTTTCTTCTATCTGTTTTAAACCAATCTCCTCCTATTTTCCCTCGTTCTAGTATATCCCAGTGCACTTTTAACAGCGTGCAGCACACGTGTCACAGGTCTCAACTCTACCATCCACTCTCATGGTTATGCATTTGGAAGTATTTAAAATCATAAAATAATTGGGGAAGGATTCTCAATTAGAAGTCTTGATATTATTTTTTACTAATGAATGCAGACACACAGCAGGTGATTCAAACCACCAGCCTTTGTCAGCCAGACCTGCGGGTGATGATGAGTATATACACTCACCACACACAGGAGGACCACCTGAAATTCCAAAGAGCCCCTGAAACAGGCTTTATATTGTGCAACAGCTACTGGAGATCCTCTTTATCTCAGACAGAGTGGGTGTGCACATCACCTCTGGGATAACGAAAGGGCAAGGAAGCCCATCACGTTCACTGCTGTGAACTTCCCCAACAGGACAGCGATGGACACAGCTCTACTATAAACAGATTTTGTTTATAAATCTAAATGTAAAGTCTTTGGAGTAGTGACAAGAAAGCCTGCAGCCTCTGCCACTCTGCAATATGCAATTACAGGAGAACCTGAAAGTAAAAGGAGATTTGAAACTAGGAATTAACAAAAAAAGAAGAAACTCCCAAGAGCCTTCCCCTTTACTGAAGATTAAAAAACCAAAAACCAAGTATCAATCAGAAAAACCAAAAACCAAGTATCAATCAGAAAAGTACCGATCAGCCAGAGGGTCAGGCTGGCACAGAGATCACTGGTGCAACAGCACTGGAGTGAAGGATCCCCTGGGAGCGCAGGAAGCGGGTGGGAGCCCGGGAAGCACCGCTCTAGCACAGCCCAAATCGGTAACCAAGGGCTCTGCAGGAAGCCCAGCTCCCAGAGCCCCATCCTCTGCTTCTGTCTCACAGTTTTGCACCTTGTGACTGGATTATCCCCGGTCTAATAAAGTGTCAGATTTGATCAAAGCTTTTCCTGAGGCTGAGGCATTCCCAACCTGCCTCTCTCCTCCTCCTTAGTTCAGCAGCGGACAGAAGAATCAGCCGCATTTTTTACCATCCGGAAGGTTCAGATTTCAGGTCTTTCTTCACTAAAGCACAGACTCAGGTCCCACCTCTCTGCCAGCTGCCTGCTGCCGTGAGGCGTGCACATTTTGTGTCAGGTAAGTCAGTGTCTTTGAAATCATGATTAAAACCACTTTGAATTGGGTTCAAAAGGGTTCAAAATGGGTTCAAAAGTTCCACGGGAAGGACTAGCAGGCAGGCACCACCTTACAGGTGCCACGGTCCCCAAGGCAGCCAGCCTCACAATCCAAAATATTGCTGAATAGGCAAGGAAAGGAAATAATTTAAAGGTGTAATGATAGTGCTCAACACAGAAATGTTCATTTTAAGTGTACCTGCTCCATGTCTTCTCTCCTGGCTTCTCCCAGCTGCAAAAGTGGCACCTATGCTGGCCCAACCTGTGTTTTTCTAGACTGGTGCCCAGAACTCACCACCTTGTCACTCATGGCTGACACACAACACTCATTAACCCCAAACCTCCTCCTGATTTATCCAGTCAAGCCCACGTGCACCGAGTTCTGACGGCATCACACTGTACTCCCAGACTCCGTGTATCCCGACAGCACGAACCTGAGAGCTGGGCAAGGCTTTCAAAACAAAACACCAGAGCCTAATGGTTTTATTACCAGTGTAAACTGGGAGCCTTATCACACTGGAACTGCCAAGAGGTCCAGTGAACCTGAAAGGATGAAAGACATTCACTAATTTGGCATGGATTAGATCCCAGCTGGAAACAGCGCCTGATTGTACAAGTTAACGAGAGTGAACGAGGGTCAGAGATGACTTTGAAGGTCCATAAAGAAAGAAGATGCAAAACAACATAAAGAAGTATCAAGAAACTCCTCCAAGTTATAGAATCATAGAACCACAGAATGGTTTGGGTTGGAAAGGACCTTAAAGATCATCCAGTTCCAACCCCCCTGCCATCAGCAACAAGTTCAGTTGTCCCACTCCACCCAGCATCCAACTAACACAGTGCAGGCTTGACATTCCTCTAATGGTCAAACAAGAGCCTGAGGGATCGGAGAGAAAGAATAAAAATATGAAAACTAAAGTGCAAAATGATGAGCACGATGAGAAGAGAGAGAAAACAGACCCAGTGGCTGTCGAGTAGGAAAGCAGCACTTGCAGAGTGGGTCAGGAAGAAACAAAAATCACTGAGTTTCAGCATGAGTTAGCAGAAATGCATGAAGCAAAGAGCTTCACATCCCCAAAGAGGATTAAATCAGCTGCTGAGAAAGACCAGAGTTGGGGCAGATCTGCTGGGATGGAAAAGCTGCATCCTGCAAGTGTCTGCATCCCTCCAGTCTAACAGGGGAGCTGCTCGACACAGCCCCTCCGAACAGAGCAGCCACACGTGGAACTATTTGAGGCCGCAGGAGACACTGGTTTTTAGCATCCTAAGCAAAGCCAGGAATGGAGCACGTGAGGAGAAGACACGGAACTGGTTCTGAGTAGAAACTACCAACCAAACGTCCTCTGAAGCTGCACAGCACCAATGAGTTGTGTTTAATGGGGATGCTGTGTCCCAAAGGAGCTTGGCTTATTTGCCACACAAAGACATCAGGTGTCACCTGAGAGATCCCAGAGTGTCTGAGACATCTGTTATGGGCCAGCAGGTAAGACACTGGACCTGTGAATGACCTGTGTCCATCAGGAGGTAGAGGCCGTATAGGATATCCTGATAGAGGCCACAGGATATCCTGATGCTCTCAAATTACTTGAGATGCCTTCGTGTGGGCACAGAATGACAGAATGGTGGGGTTGGAAGGGACCTCTGAAAGTCATCTAGTCCAACCCCCCTGCTCAAGCAGGGACTCCTACAGCACATGAGCCAGAATGTTGTCCAGATGGTTTCTGAATATCTCCAGGGAAGGAGATTCCACAACCTCTCTGGGCAGTCAGTCCCAGTGCTCACCCACCCTCACAGTACAGAAGTTCTTCCTTATGTTCAGGTGGAACTTCCCATGCTGCAGTTTACACCTGTTGCCTCTTGTCCTATTGTTTGGTGCCAATGAGAAGAGTCTGGCCCTGTCCTCTAGACACTCTCCCTTTAGATACTTATAAAAATTAATCAGATCCCCTCTGAGTCGTCTTTTCTCCAGGCTGAACAGGCCCAGCACCCTCAGCCTTTCCTCATGTGAAAGATGCTCCAGCCCTTTAATCATCTCAGTTGCCCTTTGCTGGACAGGCTCCAGGAGTTCCATGTCCTTCCCCTACTGGGGAGCCCAGAACTGGACTGTGCCCCAGAGCTGCACCTCCTGCAATGAAAGCACACACACAGAAACCTCAATGCTGATGTTTGCTGATCCTGAGCTGAATCCCACCACAGGGGTCCTAGCGGCGTACACAGAGATGCCCTTGGCATCAGGAAATACCACGCGTCAGTGTGCACGCAACCGTCCATTTCCTTCCCTCTTGAGTGTAAATACCTCAAACTTCTGCCAGAACTTGGAGTGCCAGCAACAGGTCACAGGCCCTAGCTGCAATCCTCAGCCAAAAACAATAAAAGAGAGGAATGGCCATGCTGGGTCAGGCTGAGGGTCCATCTGCCCCAGCATCCTGTCTCCAGCAGTGGTCAAAAGCAGATGCCATGGGGAGAACATAAGAATAAAATAAGTGTAGAGTGATATTTTCTTAAAATAATCTATCTTTTAGGTGTAATCTACAATCTGTTTTTATAATCTATCTTTTGGACAATTTGCAGTTAAGGAATTTCCTGAGTCAGAGCCAATATTTTTGTGTTGAATAGCCCTCAGTGGGTTTTTCTTCCAAGAATGTATCCATCTCCTCTTATCAGCGTGACCTACCGCTGGGCTAAACTTGTGACTTTCCTGGAGCTCAGGCTCCTCTCACTCATTCTGCTGTTGTCTGTTCAGGCTCTGACAAAGACCATCCACCACATCCCCTTTCAGTGGGCCAGTTCCTCAATTCAGGGCCAGAAGAAGCCCAGGTGAGGCCCAACGTTTTGGTGAAGCCCCAACTCTCTCGCACAGCTGGAAGCTTTGGCTATTTGTGATGAGCCTCTGATCAGTGGATCACAAAACACCCTGATTTTTTTTTGTCTTTCCCAAAACTGAGTCTTCAGAGTGTGTTCTTGAGGAGGAAGAACCGCAGGAGCATGGAAGGTCCTCTATTGCTTCTTGGTCAGGCTCTCTATATAGAGGAATTTCTACATCTTCGTTTATATCCGTGAGTAACAGGAAATTAGATTTATTATTTCTTCATCATTGATGCAGGATTACACAACACAGGACTTCAGCAGAGGCTCTGGCTTTGGAAACCCTTCAGCAATCCATTTCCCTTTCTGATGACAGTTCTTACAGCTGGCTTCCCTTTGAATTTCTGTGACCACCAAGAATATGAAGAGTTTATAATGAACAAGTTATCAAAACAGCACTGGGACCTTCATATTTACTCCTTCATTGACCCAATCTCACTTTTTTTTGTTTGCTAGGAAATTGTTCTTCCCTTCCAGCACCCAGCTCCAGACACCCCTCATCTCTCCCTGTGAAGACTGTCCTATCACACTAGACCCACACATCATAATTTTCACACTGTCCCATGTCCGTGCAAGCTGCCTCCTGACTGACCTGGCCCAAAGCACCCTGTGACATGCAGAAACTTTAATATTGAAGGTTTGGGGTAAGATGGGCTACAGGTAACTTTGCAGGGCTTACGGTCAGCAGAAA